TTTCCAAAGGGAGGAAAGGGGAGTTGGGCTGAACCATTTCCAAAGGGGAGAGGCGAAGGGAGCCGGGCTGAACCATTTCCAAAGGGGGTAGTGCTCTAACCCCACCTGCCCCAGTGGGGTGGCTGGCACGGCCCCTGCATGATCTGTCCTCGTCCCAGGTGAAATGAGTTTGTTAGGCCTCAGCCTGGTGCCATGCTGCCCATGGCCCCCCTGACCCCCAGCACAGAGCCAACGGGCCGCTCTGGCCCCTGATGCCCACAGCAGAGCCGACCCCAGAACCAGCCCCCAATCTCCCCCTGCAGGCACGGACCGAGTTCCTGAGGAAGAAGGCACGGGTGTCTGCCCTGCCAGGACCCGATGGCGGCTCGGCGCTGGCCCCCACTGGCGATGATTCACGCCATGTCGACCTCTTCCGGGACCTGGAGGAGGGCAAGGGCTCCAAGGCCGGGAACAAGGAGTATGAGGAGGAGAAGCGCAGGGAAAAGGTAATGGTGGGGAGGGGCACGTTTGAGTTTGGGGGCACCTTCATCCCTTGGGCGTAGTGAGCCCCACCCTGGCTTGCTGGGGTTAGGTTGCCCCTATGTTGGGGCACTGATGGGAGGGGGCTGGTGCAGTGGGGTGGGGTATCTACCCCCCACCCCGTTACAAGAGATGGGGTACAGCCAAGCCTCAGATCTTGGCATCTCGGAGTAGAGGGGACAAGGGTGGGGATTCACACACCCCTGTTGGAGTGGGAGGTTGTGTACAGAATTAGGGTTCCCCCTCAACACTCACAGGTGCTCTTACACCACCAGGGGGAGGGGAGGGTTAACAACTCACCTGCCCTGCACGCTGGTTCCCCTCTCAGTCTCTCTCCCCCATCCCGTGAGCTGCCCCCTGGCTCCTCTACCCATAAGGCAAAAACCTCCCCCAGTGTCTCCTTGCACAGTGGGGCCATGATCAGTCCCACCCTCTCCCTTAGCAGATGGGGCACCCCCTTCTTCAAGGTGATTCAGTTCAGCACGCTCCCCTCCCTGCTTTGCCCCAACCAGGAGCGGCAGGAGAAGGCTATCGGGCTGCTGACCTATCTGGGGCAGAGTGCGGCTGAGGCCCAGACCAGCCGGCCGTGGTACCAGGAAGCCCCTGACCGCAGCCGGGAGGCAGCTGTGGTGACCACGCAGGAGCAGCTGAAGGGCAGACTGGACCCGCTGCGGGAGATGGAGAGGCACCTGCGCAAGAAGAAAGGGGAGGGGAAGAAGCGCAAGAAGGAGAAAGAGAAGCCCTCAGGGGAGAAGGCGGCAATGGGGTGAGTTGGATGTGGGGCAGGGTTAGAGAGAGCACTCGGCAGGACTCAGGGACTACACGTCCCAGCATGCAATGCTCTAGCCCGCTTCCTAGGCACAGGGACCATAAATGCTCCAGCTCGCTTCCTAGGCCCAGCGACTACAAGTCCCAGCATGCAATGCTCCAGCTTGTTTCCTCACTACATGGACTACAAATCCCAGCATGCAATGTCCCAGTCCACAGGACTACAATTATCAGTGCGCAATTTACTTCCCATGTTCCCAGCTGCACGGGGGTGTGCATGTGTTACTGAAACTACATGTCTCAGCATGTACTCAACACATTTGTTCCTGGGCAGTGGCCTGGCCTACCTATTCCAGCATGCATCACCCCCCAGGAGGGAGATTGCATATTGGGAGTTGTAGTCCTCGTGGCATGCACATCTAGACACCAGCTGGCGTAGGGCTGTAGGAACTTGACCATTCCCTTCTGCTTGTCCTTGCAGCTCTGCCCCCCTCTCCCTGGAGCAGCTGCGGCGGGAGCGGCTGCAGCGGGAGCAGGCCGAGCGAGCTCGGGCTGAAGCCCTGCTGGCCGGGCGGCAAGGGGAACCCCAACGTGGGGAGGAGGAGGAGCCGGACGACAGGAAGCGTCGCTACAACTCCCAGTTCAATCCGCAGCTGGCGCGCAGGCCCCGCAGCTGGGACGAGAGGGAGCAGCGCTGAGCCCTGCCGGTGCCCCCTGAAAGTGGTGGCCGAAACAGCAGGCCCTGGGCACAGAGATTCCTGCACTGGGGTCACACAGCAGGTGGAACAGGGACACTGGCATCACAGCAAGGCAGCCAGCATGTGGTATCCCTCTGCTGACTTAGGGGGGAGAGACACCGCTGTCCTCTCTGCCGCCCCCTTGGCCATGAAGTTTGGCATGGGGGTTGCACTCGGAGAGCCAGAACCCTCCTTGCTCTCATAGGCGGGTGCTGGCTGCTCCACTGGGGCCCCATGCTGGACACCCGCCTCTAGTGCCTGGCGTTATTAGCGGCAGCAGGTACCAGGGGTTACCTGAACGCCCCACAAGGCAGGGGCCTGGATACTAATAAAAGGCGGTTGTCTTACTTCACTCATTTACTCACGGGAGGGGGAAGAGCTTGGAGAGGAGCAAGCATGGGAGGGGAAACCCAGGCCCGGACTCCTAGGTTCCAGCTGAAGGTGGGTGCTGGGAGTCAGGACAGCTGGGTTCTATCCCTGGCTCGGGGAGCAGGAGCCAATGGGTTCTGCGGGGGTGGGGGCAGGGAGGCCTAGCCCCATGTCAGGGAGTGGAGTTGGGTGTAGGGATTCCTGGGTTTGCTGGCTGGCTCTTCCTGGAGGGGGGAGATGTCAAGATTCCTGGGTTCCAATTTCCACTTCTGCCTCTGATTTCTCCTCCCCCGCCCCCCAGTGCTCATTGTACCATGGCTGCTGGGAGGCCCAGCCCTTTAGCCACAGAGGCGAACAGCCCCTGCTGCAGGGTGTCTCTGCCCCTCTGCTGAACCCCTGCCCAGCCCACACTGGAGTCCTTCGTGGCCCACACCTGGCTGGTAGAGGACTGTGGCTTGTCTCCTTGCGCAGGGTAAATGCACCAGGACAGCTCCCTGTGTCTTCCACAGGGCCATAATCTGACAGGGGAAACTGAGGCACAGGCAGCCCGGTCTCTCCTGGCCTTGGATTGGTCGCCACGTGGCGCTGGGGTCCTTGGCGCTCTCCCTTACCAGCCAGCCTGCAGCAGGTGGTGTGGCTGCATCAGCCCCTTTGCTGGGCCCTGCCCACCCCACGGAGGGATTTTCCGAGCAGCCAGTGGGGTTACCAGCACCGGGGGGGGGGGGCTTTTAAGCCAAAAGCAGAGCAGGCAGCAGGGAAGGTCCTGCTCTGGGCCTGAGAGCAGGGAGGGGCTGAGCTTGACCCCAGAGCCAGGCAAGGTCCCCCATGGAACATACCATCTGTCAGCTCCCACAGAGGGGGCTGCATCTCCTCCCCCAGAACATACCATGTAGTTACCTCCTGCAGTGGGCAGGGGATCCCCCGTCCCAGCCAGTCACTGTCGGGGGGGGGGGGGGGGGAGAGAAGAAGAGGACAAGAAAGAGAGGAAGGAAGAGTCCCAGCCAGCCGTGGCACATAGTCATGTGAAATCTCACCAACCCCTCACCAAGGTATTTTCAGAATAAAGATAGACCAAAATAAGGTCTGGGACGAATTCGAGTGTCTGTCTGTGCGGGTGTAACTATATCCACAAGGAAAAAATGGCACAGGACTAAGGCAGGGGCAGACGTCGCACTAAACACCCCCCTCCCCGAGCCAGGGAGAGAACCCAGGAGTCCTGGCTCCCAGCCCCCGGTCGCTCTAACCACCCCCCTCCCCTCCCCGAGCCAGGGAGAGAACCCAGGAGCCCTGGCTCCCCGCCCCCGTCGCTCTAACCACCCGAGCCAGGGAGAGAACCCAGTAGTCCTGGCTCTGCGTCTCTAGCTAACCCCGCAGCAAGGAGCATATCTCATTCCTGCCCCCGCCCTTACCTCTCCGACGCTGTCCACGGCGCAGAAAGAAAAGCTGCCGGTTGCCGGTGTCTCTCCCCCCCCCATTTCGTGCGTGAGAAGACATCATATAAAACTATTTATTCATAAATATTTTCCAAAATGAAAATAGGGTTACGAAAAATATTTTAAACACCCGGCCCTCAGCGGCTGCATAGCACCTCGGGAGAAGGGGGGAAAAGCAATCAGAAAAAACAGCCTCCCCTTTTGAATTCCTGTCCGTCCCTCCCCCAAGGAAAACCCAGCCGATCTGCTTTGGGGCTGGATCGAAAACTCATGGGAGTGGGGAGGAGACGAAAAATGGGAGAGCAGGGGGGGTGGGGTTTGGGGCCTCCCCAGAGGATTTTTTTGGGGGGGGGGGGGGTTTACAATAATTATGCTGGATTTTTTGCTGTTTTAATTTTTTTTTTAAAAAAAGCCAAATGATTTAATGCCCCTCCCCCAACACTCCTCCTCCAAGATCATTTTTGTTCAAATTTTTTTTTTGCCTGCGCATGTCCCTCTGCCCGCCCCCTCAACACTCACCCAGGAAGGGGGGCCAGGGAATTGCCGATTCCCCTCCCTTCACAGCCCCCCCCCCCGTTCTTGTCTTTTAAAACTGCATGCATTTAAAGGGTTCGGATGGCCGGAGGGGGCCCCCGCCTGGGGGTGGTGAGGTGGAATGGGGGTGGGGGAGGTGAGCTTGGCCTCTTGTCCGCCCCCCACGCCCCAATGTCCCGCCTGCGTGACTCTGGAAGGCTGGCGCCCCCTGGGGGGTGAGCAGGCGTCACTGCAGGTCGCGGTCTTCTAGATAGCGGTACTCGAAAGTGAACCCTTCCTTCTTCCGCTGGCCCCATTTCTCATAGTCGAAGTAGATGTACGTGCCCTGAGGGGGAAACGTGGAGTGGGAGAGGCATCAGCAGACGGACAGACAGGTAGAGCCTGTGTGTTGCATGTACCACGGCCTGATTTTGGGCCTGACCATGCTGGGCTGTTACGGGAAGGTCTCAGCTGCATGCAGAGTGGGGTACGTCCCAGTTTGTATTGTAGGGTCTCCCCCTGGGCACTAGGGCTGAGAGGGCTGCTGTGACTGACTGACCCCCTTCCCCCAGGTCAGTGGCCCCACCCCAGAGGTGGCTGCATTTTCCTGTGGGCCCCGGGGGGGGGGGGAGGCACTAACCTGCTCAAACTCATCTGTGATGGTCTTGGGCTCCTCGTGCCGCTGGAACCACATCATGTACTTGGTGTGGAACCTCCACGACTGCTTCTTGAGGGCTTTGGCCGCCAGGTACTGCGCCTTGGTACCCTGGAGAGAGAGAACCAGGCGCATCACACCGCCGGCCAGCGGGGGGCAGCACTCGGGGCCTGGATTGGGGGGGGTAGCAGATGGCATGTGCCACTGGCTTAGGGGGGCAACTGGGACCCAACTATGAGGCCAGGGGATGAGGGGTAGCAGATGGCATGTGCCACTGTCTCAGGGGGTAGCTGGGCATGTACCACTAGACCTGGGGAGGTATGGGGAATGGCTTGGCATGTACCACTGACACAGGAGGCAGCTGGGACCAGACCACAGGACCTGGGGGCATGGCTCAGCCCATACCACTAGTGTGGGGGTGGGCAGTGGCTTGGTAAGTACCAAAGGCAGCAGGGGAGAAGGGGAATGTACCATTAGCAGTCTTCTTTTGGGGGAGACAGACAACTAGCTACACAGCCAGCAGCAGGTAAATAAAGCGATAGCACCATTCAGCATGTACCAAATGCTCTGGGCATGGGGGGCGGGGGGAACTCTTGGCATACACACCCCTTGTCCCCTGTTGTTGGTGTATGTCTCGGCATGTACCAATCACAGGGTTGGTCAGGGAGGACAGTACCATCAGCACCTGGGAGGGGCGGGGGGAGGATCCCCTCCCACATACCAGAGGCAGGTGGACTCTGTGTGTGTGTGTGTGTGTGTGTGTGTGTGTGTGTGTGTGTGTGTGTGGGGATGGATCTTGGCACCTGCCAATGTCGGGGGAGGGGAATATACCATTCACACCTACAGGGAGGGGAGTTCCCCGTGCACATACCAATTGCAGGTGGCCAAGGGGGGGTGTGGGGGTATGAGTCTCTGCAGGTATCAATGAGGGGGAGGGGGAGGGATGGAGCGTACCATCCACACCTGCAGGGAAGGGGGGTGTCAGGTGGCCGATGCGCAAAGCCAGCAGTGGTGGGGGGGGGGGCACGTTGGCAGCAGTCACCCACCTCGCCCCTCCTGCCCGAGGGAAAGGCGGCAGCGGCGGCCAGACAGGGCGGGACTATAGAGCGCTCTAGCCTGCAGAGGGGGCCCTTCTGTACCTCCAGATAGTAGAAGATGAAGAAGAGCGTCTCCGTCGAGAGCCGCTGGTAGAACTCCACGGTGTCCGAGTGCAGCGGAGGCATCTGGTGGTGGTAAGGGGGGGTCGGGCAGGGGTTCCGGGGCAGGTACTGCCTGCGGGGGTGGGGGGAGGGGGTTAGACAGCCTGATGGGAGTGGGAGCAGCACGGCGTCTACTGGGAACAGAACAGAGCAGTCCTGGCTCCCAAGCCCCTCCCCGCTCTGTTAGACCCCACTCCCCTCCTGAAGCTGGAGATAGAATCCAGGAGTCCTGGATCCAAGCAACCCCTTCCCTCCACTCTAGCCACTAGACCTCACTCCCTGCTCAAAGTCAAGGACTGAACCCAGGAGTCCTGCTCTCTCCAAGCCCCCAGGCACTGCGCCTTACCGGATCCTCTCTGAGTCCGAGGGGTGAGGCATGTGGTGCCAGGCTGCCTCCTCCATGGCCTGCTGGTAGAGCTGCTCCTTGGTGAGGGGCACCGGTCCCAGGGGGCAGACCCCCAGGGAGAGAGGGATGTTCACCTCCGACAGCTGGATAGGCGGCTGGCTGGAGGGCGGCTGCGAGGTCGTGCTACTAATTAAAATGTCTGCTGGGGGGACAGACGACAGACAGCCTGTTAGATTCCTCAGAGAGCGATGGGAGCACAAAGCTTTAAAACCAGTTTATGCAACAGTCCCTCGCCCGGCGCCGAGATGCAGCCACCTCTCGGGTGGGGCGCAGGGGCTGGTCCTACAGGGACCCCTCACCTGGAACTCTGCATGTTTCACAATGCAGTCAGCTGTGCTGGGACACCATGTGCGTGGGTGGAATCCCTTCCTGTGCTCCAGCAAGGCCCGAAAGCCTGAGCGCCTGCTGGAGATGGAACCCAGGAGTCCTGGCTCCCAGCCCCCTGCTCTAACCACTAGACCCCACTCCCCTCCCAGAGCTGGAGAGAGAACCCAGGAGTCCTCACCCCTTTCAGCCAGGTGGAGAGATGGCAC